CCAATTATTTAAAAAAAAAGAAAGAAAGAAAGAAAGAAATGGGTTTCCCATGTCCAGAAAACTTGAGACCATGGTCATTCTCCAACTTCACGGAGGTGCTCTAGCACATCTATTAGATTCCTGGGATTATTTCAGGGCTGGCAAACCCCCTTAGTGCTTTGCTTCAACAGCTCAGCCTGGGCCTCTTCACATGGCCCTTGGTTAATCTGTGTATCTGAGTTTTCACAGTGGTGTTTGCAACTTTTACATTATGGAGTATATCACTGTAGAGGCTGAGGGGTTTTATTATTCTCAACACCTAACATAATATCTGACAAACTGAAGTCATCCAGTATTTGTGGAGTTGAATGGCAACTGTTAAAATATCCATTATTTGTGTATGTTCAAATTGCCTTATTTGCACATAGTTTGTACAACTGTATTTCTACTGTAATACTCAGTGCCTGGAACACAGCTGGCTCATGATAAATATTACACTGGAAATGTGGAAAAGAATAAATTTGTTTACATTAAAAAAAAGGTGGGCCCATGAACTCCCTAGACATCAAGACATACCTTAAAACAAATCTTATCTTCACAAACTAAACCTGAAAATCCTAACACTCAAGATCTGCTGGAATGCATGCAGTGAGAATGTGAATTGCATATACCCTCAAGTTAAATAATGTTATTGGCTGCAGCTGTAATGGGAAAGCTGTCTAGAGTACACGGCATTGCACTGTAGGAAAAGCCAGAGGGGAGGGACCCCTTCCGTCTTCTACCCCAATATAGTGCCCGGCACATGTATGTGTCTAAAAATACCTGCATATTGAATGAATGAATGAATGAATGAATGAATGAATATATGACTAAGGGGGCTCTTCCCCTGATGAGTGCCCATGAAAGTGAGCTTTAGGGATATGACTGCAGCTGCTATTTGGAACATCTATCATTCTCGGTTCCATCTCTGAAACCTCGACTAAAATCTGTGAACAAAAGCTGCTTACTCTCTCGGAGTTTGGACACTGAGGACAAAAACTAACTACTTCTCCACACAGTTGGCAGTCTGCATTAACTTTACTTTTCCACTGTCTTCATTAACATAATTTCACTACTCCAGGAGACTCTACCCAAGGCAAATGATAGTCTGTTCATCATTCCTTCAAGACCCATCAATTCTTCTGTAAAAAGCATCCTTTTAAACCCTAAAACCAATCTTTATTATACCATGATCCTTATCCAATCCTAATCCAACTCCCTGCATTACGCATGACCGATCCTCTGCATTAGAAGACCATCATTAAACCAACCTTCAGTTTCTCAGTAAATTCCAACCTTGCCCTCTCCGGGAAGAGGCCGCTGAGACTCCACGGAGGCGGTCTCCCTTACTGGGCTAGGCAGTTAGCTCAGCTTTGTCTCACCAGCAGACTGTGGGGATGCTATTTGGGGAGCCAGCATCCAACAAC